TCCTCCTCCTCCTCCTCCTCCTCCTCCTCCTCCTCCTCCTCCTCCTCCTCCTCCTCCTCCTCCTCCTCCTCCTCCTCCTCCTCCTCCTCCCCTCCTCCTCCTCCTCCTCCTCCTCCTATGTGGCATGCGTTGGGAAGCACTAGAACTGCAAATGGACGGTTTAATGTTGGTTTGAATTTTACCCTTAAAGTAAGGCCTTTTCAAAGATAGCAAAGGCTGATATTGTGTAGCTACCCTAAACTTCCCAGAACAATGCATATTGTCAACGTATGGAAGACCTGGAGGGCCACTAGTATGGCCCGGAGGCCAGGCCCCTATCCAGAATCGAGAGTTAAAACAACCAATTAAAGTATTACAGTATGTTGAATAGACTGCATCCCATCATTAAGGTACGCGAATGTTGGCCATAAAGTTTATGCCCAATTAAGCTCCGTTTTTAGTATGCCTTGTCTTTCACACATAACACAGGGAGGGAAAATGTATTGCCGACGTAGCGAATGGCTGGAGGGCTACTAGCATGTCCTGGGGGCCTAGTCGCCATGCGGAAGTACAATCGTGGAGTCTTATGTTCCGTTGCAACCAAAACAGAGTTTTAAACGAATAACTGTACATAGACATTTTAGCTGTCATTCTTGGAGCTGTAGTTCCTCAACGTCTAATCAAGTGTGTTCGGATTTTTCAACATTCAAAGGAGAAAAAAATGTGCGTATTACGCCATATTTTAGGAGAATTTTAGTGTTACTGCAAATAAATGGCTAATGAGCACATCTTAAGGTATCACGCGAGTCGTCTCTGAATCTGGTAGCGGTGTAGCGGCTTATTACCAGATTGCAGGAGGCCTGAAAGACTATCAAGAACGCAGTACTACAGCGACAGCACAGGAGCCGTACGGTAGAAGACTGTAGCAGACCACATAACTACGTAAATAATTAAACAGACCTCCATTTTAAGCGTCATTATAAGTTGTCCTTGGGATTACAAGTGAAACCCGAAACAGGAGGATACTACTATTTGTGTGACAGCAAGTCGACTCCTCATTTCCGTTTTTGATGGTTCATTTGAGATTGTCAAACTTTACGTAAAAAGGGCTGAGCATTCTTAAAAAACTATCACAATCTGCTTGGCAATCGCTTTTCTTTGAAGCCTGGAAGTAAATGCAGATTCTAAAGTAGAATTGCACCGATACCTTTCTTTCCTTTCCCCTGTGTAATGTGTTACACTACACTAAAGATTATGACCACTGCATGCTGTTTCTCTAAAAACAGTTTGAGATTTTCTTTTGCTACAGCACCACTAGCGTAGGTCCTTTTATTTGTTCCTTGAGGAAATATTATTAAAGATGTATTTATTCAAAAAGGGGCTAATAACTGGCTTGGCGAATTTAGCAAACCCTGACCTGCGAACAAAATGTTCTACATTATTGTCCATCATGCACGCAAATGAACTTATTTGGGAAAAATGACAAGTTTTGGTCTTCGATCTAGCTGCGCAAGCGCTCCGTCCACGCTTGCAGCCACTTAGTTCTTCGCCCACACTAATGCGCCCTTTTACGTCTACAGAAAGGACTTGAGGTGCGATTCGAGCCAGGGAAAAAGGACGTGCATATTAAGCGAATAAAGCTGCTATTTCCCCATTAAAATAAGCTGAAATCGTGTCCTGTGTAGTGCCATAGATTAATAATATATAAATATAATGTTCTAAATACTTGTTTAACTTCCAGTTTTGGTAATGGGCCACTTAAGGACTTCGCTATTTTACTTCTTCTGGACATCCTAGCCTCCAGGCCATGCCAGTAACCCCAAGACCTAATGCGTGACTAGAATACATATTATATCTGAGTATTACGTCTTCTTTCGTCTTCAGATAAGTCTTGAGACCCTGCGGTAAGAAATGTATAACTCATTTTTTACTTCTTTTTACGTATCAGCCGCAAAGGCAGGTGCTTATATGGGGCCATTCCAACTGATCTTCACATAATGCTTAACCACATAAATAACCTTATTTTCACGTAGACAAAAGGTCAAAAAGTAGCGTACTTCATTTGTTTAAGTTGCAAAAGGTTCATGAAGTATCGCTTATGCCAGTTTAGTGTCCACTTATGCCCTTGTGACTTGGTATTGTTGGCTTGAGCATATAGCTAGATGGGTGAAGCACGTGTTTTGCCTGTACTTTGAGCAAATGTCCTGGCATAAACCTGATTAGTTATTTTGATGTAAAGTAATTACAGCGCTTTTATCGTTCATTTAACCCTTCGTTTTGGTTTCATAGACACTCGAGGCTCCGCCTTTGTAATTCCGCTGTGCGGAATGACATCCGTGACGTGCCAGTCGCCCCCAACCTTTCTTTACGTCGGCAATACATTTTCTACCCTAGTTTTGTACCTCCTCCTGTCTTCAGGAAAGACGTCGAGCGCTATGGCAACAATAATCGAATCCAATCAGAAGTTATGATGCGCATCCAAGACCAGTTACGTACCAACGAATAATATTTGGGAGGTGGGAAACCTAAATGTAAT